GCCCTGTACAAAAAAAACACAAGACGACACGTCTAAAGTTTACTAAAACCTCAAGTTGTTGGTTTTATATGTTGGTTTCGTAAGCATCAATCAAACTAGATATAAGATGTTCTTTTTTTAAATGGAGCAAGGCTAACCGTTTCCCACTGTTTTCTGTCTTTATAGAAAGCTAAGCCTACTCGATGCTAGCCATACTGTAGTTTCAGAAAGACATATTTTATAGCGGTGTCATATTTCATAGATACAGTATCTCTTTGCAAGACAGAGAATTACTTGAATTGACTGAATGTTGAACTGCTTTTCTAATGGTAATGAACCGTGATGCTAATATGAGCATGCAGAAAGAAAGAAAAAAAAAACATTTCATTGGGAGTAGATAATCATCAGAGCTATCCACCAGTAATCTTTTTGTTTTGTTGCTGTCTTCAATTGTAAATATTTGAGGCACCCAAAGGTGTTGCTGTTTTGCGTTCCCCTCTCCTTCTAAACTTCTGGAACCTCAATGTCAATTCAGCTTTACTCGGGTCAACAAGCCTCCATGTCCATGATGAATAGGAAACCTTTCCTCTAGATTCAATACATCCTCCCCCTTCCTCATCTGTCTTCCTCACGAGCACATGATTGCACATATTCATCGGGTTATACCTTCTGCCATTAAGGATAATTGCTCTGCCTGCCCTGCCCTAAGCGTGAACTCACTTAAGCATGCTGGAGAGCATCAGTGCAATATGAACATCGAGCTGCAACCAGAGACGCACCAAGCCTCCAAGAAGAGCTCCAGTAGAGGAGGCGCAAATGCATATGGGAGAGCTGTATGTAATATTTTTAAAGTAAAGTAAGCCTATATCCATTAAATATTTAGATCCTTTAAATCAATGTAACCCTTCATATACAAAGCTGTGCATTTTTTTTAAAGGAATGGGACAACTAGCCACATGTTTATAGCTAACACATACAATATAAACAGGATTGTCAACTCTACTGATCTATTTCAATTAGATAATTGGTTACATTCACTGTGAAATAAGAAACCAAAGTATACTAGTGACTGATCCTATATAGCTGGAGTGAGGGGCACTTTCATAGCTCATCTGATCTGAGCAATGCAGAAAGGCTGAGTCTTTGCAGCATTGGTTCCTGGTTCAAAACTGACTTCTGGCTCTCTGCATGTCAACCCGTAACTCTCCGTTTCTCTCTATGACTGTTTTATCAATTAAAGACACAAATAATGGCCAATATGCCTCAAGGACATTAAAGGAATTTCTGAAATGATGGATTTTAGTTTTAGTGTGCCAATGAAAAAATATAACGATAAATATCACACATCAAGTCTGCCTCCATGAGACTCCACTAAGTTCAGCTCTTCATATCCAAGTGACTCACTCCTGATCTGAATTCTTGGATGCTTAATGACTGCGGACATACATATTGATGTAATGAGAGATAAATTGATGACTAAAGTCTCGATGGATGCCTACTGGGCTTATTCTCAGTAAGCTGCGGCTCAGTCATCATTCTGGTTTGGTGATGCATAGCATTTACCATCAAACCCAGAGGAGGGTGGAATTTGATTTCCTTTCACTTAACTCCTCCAGGACTGTTTTGTTTGTCTAATGTGGCAAAGATGGCACGGGAACAAACCTTCTCCTTGACTGGAAACAAGATTTATCCTGCATCTTTTTGTCTCTGCCTGTCGTTTTAGATGTATTTAGATGGGATTTGGCCCATGTGGTACAGTAGGAAGGGGAAGCGGAGGTGTGATGAACAGTGTGTCATATAAACCTTCACCCCCTCCAGCTCCTGTTCAAATAAAGCCATCTGGGAACAAACATGAGTCATAGCATTATTTATTAGCCCTGCTGGACCGGATACCTTTATGCTGCACATTTAATGCTAACAATATCTCGATCATAATGCATGTTATTTTTCCCACATGTCTCTTCTTTTCCTGCTGTTGGGTCTTTTGTAATCATGTTTTATTAAAAAGATATTAAGACAGTAGATGATACACCTTTTATTTTAACAGTGTTTACCTAAATGGTGCGTTTGCCCTTGTACGGTCATGATTGAAACACTGCCCTGACATGACAGGTGCGGCATTGAGGTGTCAATCCTGCTTCTCCATTAACCGCATTTTACTTTTATTCAAGCACCTTGTACTTTTAAAGGAATGATTTGACCTTTCGGGAAACGCACTTGTTTCCTAAAATGTCTAGCAGTTTCCTTAAAAACTGTGTTCTCATCCTTATGTACATGTCTCAAACTTGATTGTTTTTACTGCATTGATTGTTTTTGTGTGTGATGAGTTTGGTCTCTTTAGGTGGAGTACTGGAAGACCTTAAATAAATATCCCTTTGAACTTTAATTTACTCTTCCACTGACTTCCTGGTTTGGCTCTGTCTTTCAATGTAACCCCACCCTCTACTGTTCGCTTTAGGCCATCGTGCAGCGAGAGGAGCAAACACAGGACAGCCTCCCTCTTCAAACAACAGCTACTTTTGACCCACATCTGCACCCAGTTACCAGCACAGGTCCATGTTGCACAACATCAGGATCTCTTTTCTGTGTATCCAACATGTCTCAAGAACAAAGCACTGAGTGTCTATACAACCAGAAGACTGCACTCAGAAACTGATTTCATTTGGTGACGTAGATGTTTGTACCCAGTCTCTAGCACCATATGAAATCAGAGTTCTGGGAGGTGGATGATCAGCATGAATAAACTGAAATATGAGATGCCACAAAGTAGGTCATATTTGTATAATTTACTGCTCTGTCCCGCTTCATTCACAAACTGGTCCCAGCTGCTGCTCCGCTTCTTGTTGAATGTTGTGTTCTCTCCGATTGGCTCAAACATACTTTCATCATGAATCCAGTTTCATTGATACATTTTAACCCATAAAATCAGCTATATATATATATATACTATGATTTTGAAGATCAGGATTTGCTTCACACACTGTATGTATAAAATACTGATATTAGCTTGTATTTTGTGCTAATAAATTGTACAATAAGCCTTAATTTCTTTGTTTATTGTGTCTTTAATAAACCTCAAAGCAACTGTCACATACTACCTCAATCCCAATAAATCTTTTCATTGCAGCTATGGTACATTTACACTCATCTGTACTCAATGGAAGGTAACTGCTTTGCTTCTTTATTAGTGCTCAAGGTTTTCTGGCTTCAGCTGAAATCAATTGAAATGACTGAATGGAATCCATTGGCCTCATTTAACCAAACTCAGTCGAAAATATGTTACATGACAAAGGTTGAAAGAGCCCTACCACCCCCCTTTGATGTATTTTAACAAAAAAAATAAGGACATGCAAGTTGAGAGTATAGAAGTTCTTCTTGACATTGAAAAATCTATTTAGTAGCTGCTTTTGATATGAGCTTGCCCATGTCAGAGAATTGTTGAAATCGCTGCACTTTTCTTCTGGTTACAAGGTTAGATTAATTGTATTTGATTAAAATGCTCCAGAACAGCCACTGAATGGCCCTTGTAAGTCTAAACAGACAAGGAGTGCTGGAAAAAATATTTCAAAGAAAGAAGAATGTTGGATACAATTTAAATCTCATAAATAAACCTCAAGGTGAGATTGTTTTGTCAAATATATCCATCTGTTTGTGTTTGATCTCATCCAACTATAAATGCACACTTTTATACATGGTATGGATGCACCCCACCCCTGACTTTATGAAGACACTATGGCAGTGACATCAGGCGTAATATCTCATGTGACTGACAGGTATGTTGATTAAAGTGGAACGGATGGCCGTACTGAAGTGATGATGTTCTCCTGAAGGACAGAGCTGCAGTATCTCACCCTGTCCTGTTGACTGATGGTCGGGTCGTCTATAGGGGACGGTCTAATGGGCTTTCAGAGTATATATAAAATCTAATCCTGATCATTATATTTTAGTCAGTGATGTCCATTAAGTTCCTTCTTAAAACATACTTATATAGGAGAGCCTTTCCTGATTTTGTTTTAATTAATTTTTAATTCCATGGTTTTTAAAGCTGTTTTATTTTTAAGGGAATATATATTATGCTTTGTTCAGGTTTATGTTTCTATTTTGTGTTATGCATTCCTAATCAAATGTAGATGAAGTTAAACTGAGGTAAACAAACGCAGAATATTAGCTGATACAAGCGAGTATGTACATAAATATATGTATTAAACCACACTTGGACAACCACATAGAGCAGCTATACACAGTTCAAATCGTTACTTACATAAGGTTGTGGTCCGGTTGTTACTGTGTTGCAGACGCCAAGTAATGAAAGCGTGCATGAGAGTGTATGACTACTGGAATACATATTATGAGAAGGCAATAAATGAACCTATATTCAGATGTGGTATGTGCATTAATTGATGTACAGAGTTTATATAGCAAATGATGTGACCTAGGAAGTGTCTTATGCTCTTCCTTAAGAAGTTAATATGTAATATGACACTAAGAATAGAATATATTCAAAAATTAAATGTGAAACTTCCCTGTTTCATGGCCATTAGCACTTCTATTTGTGTGCTTGTTATCGAAATTAGATGGGGCAAGAAAACATGATCAATAAATGTAATTAATTTAAATTGCATTAATCTGATAGTATAGGTTGGAGAGAATGTTTTTTATGCAACATGCTGCGGTGTGTTATTATGATTTAATTAGTATTCATAAATTATACCATGTTTCACGGTTGGTTTGTTTCCCATCATCCCCCGCTGTTAAAAACAAGATTATGCTACATTCAAGGTCCTATTCGTCTCACTGGCCCCTCCCACCATATGGTATCCTAGCAGCCGATCTCTGAGCCCTCTCCTGATTGGTCCGTTTCACCGAATCCGCCATATTCAAACTTCCGCCGTAGTGTGTGTTCTGTTGTCATCGACCCTCCGCTTTCTTTGTACACATCGGGCCAATTTTCATACGTCTAGAATTGTCTTTTTAGTTTGCTTGATCAATAACCACGTCTCGGTATAGGTGACTCCTACAAAATGGAAGAAATTGAAGAAGTTGGTGTGAGGGCGGTGGGAAACAAAAAACCGAAACTTCGCAGGATGTCATCGAGGACTTCAACGACATCAGTTATCAGCGCCGCTTCTCCACACACACTGCGGAGAAACAACTCAAAAAAGTGAGTCAAAAATACGTGATATTATATTAACGTTATGCATTTGTTTTATATTTGAAAGCTCAGTTTGTTCTGTACAACGACTTTAGCACATTTCGAGTTATCTTGTTGGCCTATACGGTGACGGACAGGCTGTTATTGTAACTGGCAAATGCTGCATTCAGGTGCACCTCGGAAGACGTAATGTCGGATTGTGTCACCACGATTTGCCATGCTTGTCTTTTGTGATCTAGTTTGATAAAGGAAAAATATCACAAATGTGTTCTGATGGGTCTGTAGTCTTGAAATATTGTGTGGGCATGATCTGGTTAAGTATCTAACAGTATAGCTTTGATATTTTGAGATCACATGAAAAATCACACTTTTATCAATGGCCAAAGTCAGGATAAAAATATCCAGCATACTATATTATCCTTTTGGCACACAGAACTACTATTTTTTTACGAAACAAATGACTAAATATATAGAAACCTAATATAGTATGATAAGAAACCTTTATATATTGTGAGCTAAATGCACAACAGAAACTCATTAAAGTCATATTGTCATAAACGTCTATTTTGTAGCTTTTATTTTTTTTAAAGATGAAATGATTTAATACAATTCAAAAAAACTAGGAGTCAACAAAAAGGCAATTCATTCTGAATCTGATTGTAATACCAATACTAATAAAGTATTTGAAGTTAAAATTATGAAAAGCCCCAAACCATCCCAATGTAAAAGCTGGAACAAAAATGACAATATTGCCTGATCAATTTAAACAACATATCAGTCACTTCTGTAGAGTGAAAAATGAATTGAATAATATTTTCAGCACTAATTAATGTAAGATGCAGATTAATGTTTTCCAATACTGGATTGTTTCTATAATTCTGATAATGGACACTTTGGAGTCTGTATTTTCAATGTTTCTCTTCAATAGCAACACAGACTGTAAGAGACACTCAAAAGGCATGTCTGAAAAGTTAAACCTGTACTGCACCTGTGTTTGTTTTTTCAAGCTGCAGATAGGGTTGTGAAAGTACTGCAATATTTGTGTTGGCTTCATATCACTGCATTCCTACGGTGTACATATCATTACAAAGGGCCAAAAACTCAAATGTTTTAACTTTATAACCTCACATTTATTATCTTGTTATTAAGGCTCTGTAACACTGACATATTGACATGCTTTTTGCTCCTTACTATTCAAATTAAATGTTGTTATTCCTCATCACTTAGTCTTATTTCACTTACCCTCCACTCATAATTTGGTTATTTCCAACGTGACTTGAAGGCAGGATAACAAAGCAGTGTGTTCAGCTGACATCAACCTCAGGGAGTGTTTGACATAGAAGGACATTGTTTCTCTCTGTAGCTGCAGTGTTTTGTCAGAACATAACTGACTTTTTTTAAGAAGCAAAAAGCGGTTCAGTTCCTTGTATGGTTCAAATATTAACGTCCCGCAGGCGTCATCCACAGTGTTGGACACATTTGAAACATAACAGCCAGTGTAGCAAAAGAGGCATACAAAACGCATCCATCATAAAAACAGAGCTGAAACTGATTCCCTATAAACAATGCTTCTCTTAAGCTGTGTTTGTGTGAGGACTGCAAAATATATATTATTTTTTATCGTCATTGCAATGTAGAATTGTACCATATACACATGGTACAAGACGGCAATATTTCACTAGGGTATTTTTTAGGTTAGTTTAAAGAATATCAGTGAGTATCGGTACAAAACTGCACTTTAAAATGAAACTGTCATCTCTCAACAAGCTATAAGCATTATGACTAAAAGCATCAGAACTCATTCATAGCTATTTATTTATCGTTTTTGTTAGCATGATATTCAAAAACATTATCAAATATGTTCTTGATTGTGCAGCGCTAGTTTGTATACTTTGACTGCTATTAGTGGTGCTTTTTTAGCTGCCAGCGTTTGCACATATGATCAGATTCTGTACATGAGAAGCAGGCAGTCACACTGTAATGTTGATATAAACCTGTTGTCATTGTGCTTGACCGTTGCTTTTTGTCTCCTTTCCTGTAGACCTCCACTGCAGAGAGGAAGCTCCTTCACCTTTCTCACGCCTGGGACCCCGTGGGACTTCAGTCTAGTAAGTTAATTAATTCTTCAACATGTATCACAAATACGTGGAAGTATTTTCAAATGGGATGTGAAAGTAACATATTTGTATTCTTCCTCTGCTGCAGAAGAGAAAACGCAAAGAGAAGGAAGATGACACAGTCAGTCTGTCCAGCTTCGACCTGAAGGTGAGAGTCAGGGCAGCTTCCCGTCTGTCCGCTTGTTGTGAGATCTATGACAATTTCACTCATGCGAAAGAACACAGAGCAGACATGATGTGTATTTGTGGCTGTGACGCTACCGTATGTCCCACTGTGTGCCATCATGGGTAAAACCGCCATGTGACACCCGTGAATAAATGTGTCCTTCAAAAACGGATATGAAACTGGCTTCTGTCATGGCCGGCCAGTTCAGAGGTTTCGTTGCATATTTACACCAAACAACAGCAATGCTTTATCATATACTAAACTGTTTTATAAGTAAGAATAAAGTAAAATTAGGGCTTGTCTTATTTTTCATCAGCATTTCTATCCGGTGTTAAACAATATAAGTTGGTAAAAGTTTTATTCTAAATATTTGAGAGCCTTTTATCAAACAGTATCGTTTTATTCAAGGTAGTGTTACACCACTACAGTCTATACCTCAATACAATCCATTGGAAATAAATACGTTTTTTCCCCCCTTTATTCCCAGGAACCCAGTAACAAGCGAGTCCGACCTCTAGCCAAAGTTTCGTCCCTCGTAAACTTGATTTCTCCTTCAAAGAATGGAGCTGTGCGGCGCTTTGGACAGACCATCCAGGTGAATGCCATACTCTTGTCCCACCCACTCTAACAACATACATTGTAGATTTATAAATAGAAAAAAAAATTGTTTGACTGTAATATACTCTTTCTTTCTTCCCCCCCCCCCCCCCAAAAGTCTATGTCAATGCGTGCTGACAGTAAGTCACCAGGGATGCTCCTCAGAGGCGGCAGCAAGCTGGCAGGTCCGACTCCAACGAAACGCAGGAACAGCACGCTGTGGTCCGAGACGCTCGACGTCCATCAGAAGAGCACGTTCTCCACCAAAGAGATCAAGAGACAGGAGGTTAGGCAGTTCAGGCTTTTTAAAGTTAAATAATAAATACAGAGAGCATAACAATAATATCTTCTCCTGCTGTGTGTGTTTTTTTCTTCAGGCAATTCATGAGCTTTATAGGGGAGAACAGGATCTCATAGAAGATCTCCAACTCGCACGAAAGGTTAGAAAATCTTTATTTAAAACCATACAAAGTAATCAATACATTTATCCTGCAGTTTAAAGAACAAGGTGTGCTGACTGCTGCTTTTTCTCACATCTAGGCATACCATGATCCGATGCTAAAACTCTCCATCATGACATGGGAGGAACTGGCTCAAATATTTGGGGACCTGGACTCATACATCCCCCTACACGAGGGTAAATTACCATTACCCATGCTTTGCTTTGAGTGCTTCAATTGATGCATGGAGTCATTCTTATGTTAGCCATCAAAGCTCAATGCTATGCACATTTAAGAAAATGCATACGAATAGACTAGACCCTAGCAAATGAGAATACACCAGTTCGACGGGAATGCACATCATTTACACAAATCACTGCTTTAAGCTCACAGCATGTTGGAAACTGGTTCCAAGGGACACTAAAAGTTGATAACAGGGCCGTCCTAGTGGTTGCCATGATTTCTGGTTAATGCATTTTTTGACACCGGTTATCCACTGATGTGATTGCATAAAGATTGCAGTAATATCGCTACATTTTGCCATCACAAAGTGAAAATAACATAATAAATCTTAAATGTAACTATTTAAAAAAAAAAAACACTGACAGATAGCTGCCTTTAACAATTTCATGATCCGCAAACGGCAACAACAAGTACTGCGTTTCTCAGCAGTGTGTATCACTTTTATCTTGGATAATAGTTACAGGTGTGTTGTGAACTTCTTGCAGTAGTTGGTTTAGATGATGTGCCTTCTCGTCAAAATATGTTTTGTCTATTAGCATGTGTTTTAATTTGCAGTGCGTCAAGCTCTAGGAGCCACCATAGCCTTTGACTGTGTGTGATTTTTGTATTTTTTTGTATTTGCAGACTTATTGATGAAACTGACTGAGGGAACTGGCTCTGATGGAACAATATCTCAGATTGGACAGATGGTTATAGACTGGGTATGTGTATAGGTTTTTTACACAAATTATCTTCAAATATGACACATTTCAGCGTGTAAAAAGGTTGTAACTGTCACTGTGTTTTCTCAGCTGCCTGGTCTGAATGGTTACAAAGAGTACTGCAGCAACCAGCTGGCAGCCAAAGCCCTGTTGGACCAGAAGAAGCAGGACAGGCGGGTCCAGGACTTCCTGCAGCGCTGCCTGGAGTCGCCTTTCAGCAGGAAGCTGGACCTCTGGAGCTTCCTAGACATCCCGCGCTCACGCCTGGTGAAATACCCACTGCTGCTGCGAGAGATCCTGAAACACACTGCTCCTGATCACCCGGACGTACCCAGTCTGGAGAGAGCTGTACGTTATCCTCATGACAGATAGTGCTGTTGCTTTTATTTAGCTGTTGAATCTAAAATTAATATGGCTTTTATTTCACAAATGATTTAGTTGTGTGTGTTTTTCCATACTAATGAGTCTTTCCTTGATTACCCAGATCACTATTATCCAGGGGATTCTGTCAGATATCAACGTGAGAAAAGGGGAGTCTGAGTGCCAGTACTATATAGACAAACTGGAGTATCTGGATGATAAGCAGCGAGACCCTCTCATAGATAACTGTAAGACCCTGCTCTGTCACGGCGAGCTGCGGAACAAGAGTGGCTCGGTGAGGATTACTTCCCTTATTATTACCATCTGCATACATGTTATTGTCCTGTATTATAATAGGTTTAATGTTTTAATAATGTGTCTCTTCACAGAGGCTGCATGTGTTCCTCTTCTGTGAGCTCCTGATCATGACCCGGCCGGTGACCCGTAACGACCGGAGCTGCTTCCAGGTTTACCGACAGCCCATCCCGGTTCGGGACTTGGCTCTAGAGGACCTGCAGGACGGAGAGATCCGCATGGGGGGGTCCTTCAGAGGGGCTTTCACCAACGGAGAGAAAAGTGAGTTCAGTTTATTTTCACTCCATCTGCTGGCGAAGTGTGGCTGAGGCAATTTTTGTCACCCATTATTTTACCAAAATGATGCTTGATTGTTTAATTTATCCAGAAATGATACTCTTTAATGTTGAAAATGTAATATATTTTTGTGTCTTGGACTGCTGGTCAGAAAGTATTTTGAATACACATCATTTTGGGCTCTGACTTTCGTCTTACTAAATGATGAACATAACAATTATTCATATAAACCCTATTTTGCTTCAAAGTAGGCCATCATCGTTTTCATAAACTCTGTGAATTTTCAGGGTTTTGAAGGGGTGCTTGATACATCCTTAGCCTCTGAACAAGGCACTGCTGGATGGGGCAGGTCTTAGTTTTTCATAGTACAATAAAGCTTCACTTGGATCTTACATAAGCTGAAACATTAGATTTGTTGTTGAACAATAGTTCGGTCTAGAGTTCCACAGTCTGACGCCAACCACAAAAATAAATACTCTATACAATGTCTGTTGTAAGTTATAATAGTCCTGACCTAATACAGAATTTGCTGACTTCTGTGTCCCTCTAGCTAAGAACGTTTTCCGTGTGCGCTCTCTGGATCCCTCCCATGGCCAGTCTCACACTCTGCATGTGAACGACGTCTACCACAAGCAGCAGTGGCTCAACTGTCTGCGCACCGCAATGTCTCAACAACAGGAAATGGCACCTAGAGTTCAGCACACAGAGGTTACCAGGATCAAGCGTCGCTCCTCCACCGTCTCAGCCAGCATCTCTGACGAGGAGACCGACGAGAACTGTCCACCTGTCTCAGGTCCTAAACTCAGGCCTCAGACTCTCTCCAAAACCAGACTGGACCAGAAGTTACAAGGCTCGCTAAAGAGGAAGGAGACTGGAGTGTAGACTTTGAACCCGAAAAAAGGGATCCTCTCAGACAGACACATGTACACCACACTAGTCCTGTTAAGTCACATGTCTGTCGGTGAATTTTCAAACGACCACTGTTTTTATGCTCTTGCTTTTGTCCTTGTCTGTAGATGCACTGAAAAGACCATTTCAATCTTCTCCGTCCAAATGTTTTGTCCAATTCTAGTCGTGCAATTAGTTTACAAAAAAGAGATGTATGTGACTGAGATGTATGTTTACACCTGCTAAATGTGTGTGGAGTTAGGGTTTTATGTGGTTACCTATCTATGTTTAAACAGCTTTATACCACTTTTAGCTCAAGCTTTGTTTAAACATTCATTCCAGTATTTTTCTGCTGCACTCAAAATGCATTTATATTAGGCTATAGGCAATGTGTGTGCAGTTGTCAGTTATTTTGAGTGTTATCTGTGCCAAGAAAAGGAACCAAGATACTGAGAAACTGTGAGACCAGAAATGTTTAAGATTAGATAAAAGATAATGAGAAAATGTTGAGCAACAACACCAACCATGAATATCATAAGGTTATCACATTTCTTGGAAGAAAAAAAATCTAGATTTGTTCAGTGAAATGTAAAATAGCAAATGATAAAACATTTTGTACGTTAAGAGTCCCGAGTGTGGTTGTTTGAGATTGTATGTTATAGCCGGTTACAGCACACCACTCCTCCTGGTTGTACTTTGACCTCCTCAGTCGTTTCCGCTTGCTGTTGACATAGCTGTCCAACAGTCTGTCGCAACATTTCCACCTAGTATGTAGAAATCCTACATACCCTTTTTGTAGTTTTGTTAATTTCTCAGTCCAGAATGGAACAGTTCATTTTTAAGGCCATTTAAGATTAAGACAAAAACATTTAAAACCAATGGAAAGAAAACAATACTTTCCCTTTTTTCAGTTCAGGAGCCCAATTACTGCAGTTTGCTACATTCAGTCCAGTGTTTTTATGCTGCACTCAAAATGCATTTATATTAGGCTATAGGCAATATGTGTGCAGTTGTCAGTTATTATGAGTGTTATCTGTGCCAAGAACAGGGATCAAGATACTGAGAAACTTACTGTAGTTCTTACAATGATGGGTGCTTGGTATATTTGTACATGATTCCCACGAGTAGAAAAACATTTTAAATGAACCTTGATCTGTGTCTCAAAGTTTGCCATGTTATGTCTTTGAATTAGAAGGAATTAGGCCCAAACCAAACAGTCCTTTAGTTTCATGTTAAAGAAAGTGTGGGAACCCTGTATAAATGTAAGTATACTACAGATACATATCTGTGTTAATGCTTGAGTTTGTCCTTGCGGTAAAGCCACGATGACATCAACATTTTCAGTTTCAGTGTGACTTCCTCGTACTTCAGATATGAAAAGGAAATGTACTTTATCAAGCTTGATTTGAGAAGACTTGATAACGCAAAAACTAAAAATACTACATTTATGTCTTAAATTCATACAGACAACAACATAAATAAGAGTTCATTAGGAAATAAAAGCAGTTAAGCTTCTGACTGCTGAGGAGCGACATTTTGAAATAATTCTGTCCTGGCGCTCAAACGGGGTGCGGGTGCTTGGGTCTTAAAGTTAAACCAACAAGTGCTATACTTTATACTTTATACTTTACTCTATATGAACAAGTTGCATGGCCGCTCCCTTTTCCTACTCCCTTTCTCCTGATGCCTGCTAGTACAACCATGACCATAGCTGCAAGCTGTCAGCAGCTGAACCTGCAGTATTTATAGCTCATGGTAAGCCACAAACACTAACTGCTTCTCAACAACCTAGCCGATACCCTCTTCCTCAAAATATTTTTTTCTGCTGAAGAAAGAAGCTGTGGGAGTCTTTATTTTATAGCCGTTACTTCCTGTCAAGTATTAGCTCAATGTTGCTCCAAGATAAATTGGAAAAATCCCCAGCAATCCCTGATACCCTTCTCCAATAAACATTAACACCTGCTTTTCTAGAGGTGATCAGTGAAGACAGCTGACAGAGCCGCTGTGGTTCATGGAGGTTCAAATGACAAGCTCAGGGAAGTGAAAATATTTTAGATTTTCCACACCTTCACCAGCTTTCTTTTTAACCATCAAGCCCTGCCCTTCAACAACATTCCCAACTTGTGTAAACATGTTGACGTTTTTAGCAGGAACTAGTTTTACAGGTTGTTGTAGCCTACAACAACCGATTATTATACATCCATGGGTTAAACAGGAAGTAGCAACAGGCTAGGACTATTAGCTGCAGGCTAGGCTAGAAGCCAAAGACAGGATGGGTATAAGTCTTCCCAAAATGCCCCACCCATTTTAACTTTAAGATAAAGTTTTAAATGTTGTTATGTTTGTTCAGCTGTATGTTTTTGTGTATCTTAATTTCAATAATAGAGCTTGGGCACGTTCACACCGCAGTACTTTTCCCACTTTAGTTCCGATATAGTTCCGAAATGTTGCGTTCACACCAAAAAAATCCGGAACTAAAATTAGTTTATGAGAACCTTTTTACCCCCTTTTCCGTCCCTGCTAGAGAGCAGGGACTTTCGTGGGAGAAAAAGGTTCCTATAGAGAGGCGAAGTCCCGCCCATCTACTTCCGACCCATGGGACCTTATTTCGGAAAAATTATGCATTGAAGTCAATGGGGAGAGAAAGATTATCTTTCGATCCCGTTTGAATTGTGCCACGAATTACACATATGATGTTTGTCAATCTTAAATAATAATTTCCATGTAAAAAAAGTCACAGTTTGTCGTAAAACTGTTGAAATATAAGACTATGAAAAATACGCAAGAATCCCGGTCCCGCATGCTGGCTCTTACGGAACCAACTAACTCCCCTTTTGTGTATGTACAGCTCTCAACATGCCCAGACTTGTAGTGATTTTCACCTCTTTTAATACTTTTCGCCTCATTCTGAAAGAAAGAGGTGAAATGTGCCAACGTGACGGCCGTCTTGGTGTGTGGTGCGAGACGGGAGATGTAGTTCATTGAGCGGTTTCACACAAAAAAAGTGTTACTTCACAGTTTTACGACACATTTTTATTTTTTTTACTTGTAAAATTATCTTTTAAATTGACAAACATCATATGTGTAATTCGTGGCACAATTCAAACGGGATCGAAAGATAATCTTTCTCTCTCCATTGACTTCAATGCATAACTTTTCCGAAATAAGGTCCCATGGAGCTCAACCGGAAGGGGAGGGACTTCGCCTCTCTATTTCTGATTGGCTGGGCGGATTGCAAACCACGCCCCGTAAAACTCCAAGTGTTGTGAAGCCGCCATTTTATTATCCTCGCATTAGCATTATTAGCATTAGCATTAGCCCAGCGCACAAACGCAGAGAGACTAACTTATGGAGGTGTCGGCGTTCTGGCGATTTACTCGGAAGGCTGGGAGTCCCAGCAGCTTCTACTGAAGCCAGTCCCCAACTCCAGGGACTTCCGGCCGGGGACTTCAGGTGGCAGTATACGCCGTGAAGTTGTTTGCGGCCTGCCAGTAAACCCAAAGCAGAAGAAGAAGAAGAAGTGACGTCAGCGGCTTCATTTGCCTAATCCTCCCCCAGGGATTTATTCCGGTGTGAACGCGATCTGTACATGTAGTTCATGAGAACTAAAGAGTTCTCATGAACTAAGTTCTGATGAACCTTTGTGGGAAAAGTACTGCGGTGTGAAAGCGCCTCTTTTCGGAACATCACACTCCTCATCTGCCTGAACACACCAAGCTGACTGAGACTAAAACCATTTTGAAACAGAAATGTTGTATTGTATTTGAGTCAATATCACTATAAAGTAACTTTGGTGTCCCCATCAGAATCACTCAGTCATCATGAAAATGTAGCAGAATAATGAAACTCTGAGGTCTTATTATAAATGGCTAAACATTTACACACATATCAGTACAATGATAAGTCTCTTGAAATGTGTTTCCTTCATTTTATACCGTATTTTTTCATTGGATGTAGGCCTACGTGATTTTGGCATGTCCCACACACTGCTCTGCTAACTACAGTGTGTGTAATAAGTGATTAAATGATACTACATTTTTAAAATAATGATATGGTTTTATTGTCCACAACGGGTTATTTGATAAAAACGAGTCATTTTGATCATGTATATTCTATTTTCATAATAATATTGAACATTTTGCATGTGTCCCTGACATTGCTGTCCACCCTGTCATTATGGGGTAACTGCCCCTATAAAAAAACATCTGATGTTTTCAGTGACATTACTACCACCATTTTGTCTTTCCTCAATGGAGGCTGAGATATTGGCTAGTTGCAGAGTAAATATTTAAACTTATATTAAGTAATTTTAATCATATTATGTGTGTAGTTGGATGTTGTCAAGCTTAACATGTCCACTCTGTCATAGTGAAATGTCAATTCATATAAACACCTTTCAGAAATTCGAAATCTATTTCTTAAACAGTACACAGTCACCTTGCTAACTGAATCATGTTGCTAACTGAAGGTCCACCATGTGCTCATTAAATGCTAATATTAGCCAAAAATGTCCACCCTGTCATTGTCCACCCTGTCAGCAAGCCTTCCATGACAGGGTGGACATGGTGCAAATAGTTTGCCATCATTTCATTATTATCCAAATAATTGTTCCATTAACTGAAATATATTGTTGAGAAAGGGACTAAATAGCTTTCTGAAAATGTACATTTTATAATCACTATGTAATTACAATGTATTTACTCTACTTTGAATTTGTCCCATACAGGGTGGACACATTTTGCTGTTTGCATGTACATTGTCTGCCTGCAATTAATTCTTGACCAACATCCATTTCTAACGGCATAACATATACTTAATACAATGAATATGAAGTTCAATGGAAAATCTCAGCTTTTTTTTTTGTGGAAATGGGGAAGTCTCAAATGCACCGTATGGTGATATTGACTCATTTGTAGAATGGAAACTCCCCCAAGTTGCGTAAACCATTACATTCCCAAAGTATTTCCGCATCAAGAAATATATAATCTATGAGGTCACAGTAACTGTTAAAACACAGTTTCTGTTAATTAAAATAACTGCAGTCATTGTACTGATTCAATGTTAAGTGAATAACCGATTGGGCAATAACAGACCTTACTCAGATTCTGATTCAAAACACTTTACACCTGATTCCTGTCAGCCTCTATAGCAGCGGTGCAAGTTCAGACATGTTTTTTGTTCAGTGAGTGAATACAGTCTGACTAGCGTGTGTGCCACTTATTTCATGTTTCCTCTCTAACTCACCAACCTGATAGCTGCATTGGCGTGACTTTGATAAGGTCTTTTATTTGGTGGTAACTAATCTTTGCCTGCTAACTCTCGGGACAGGATTCTTGTCCAGACAGATATCTACATATATTCACCAGTTTTTACAAACCAAAGGGTTTTGGAGAAGTCAAAGTACATTTACTGTAAAGTTCGAGGCCCTATTTCCTCTATTGACAGTACAGCAGAAACTGGACTGAAGTTACATTGATTTAGTTGCATGCTCTGTACTTTACAAATACAAGAGTATTTAAAACACTTCTGAGTTTTTAAGGTACCTTTTTTGCAGCTTTAAATGCATTTGAGAAGTAGTGAGCATACAACATATTTGTGTATAAATGTGTTTTGATATCGTCTTTGT